AGAAGTAGGTATTAGTTCCATCTACGCAATGAGTAAAATTGTCAAGATGAGAAGAAAATGCACACGATACTCGAATATTCTTGGATACAATTAGGAATCCCAGCTGTAATTTCCCAAAATCGCAAGGAGGTAATAATGTATTTTATAATTGTTTGCTATAGTAGATGCATGACACTCACATCTTTATATATATATATATATATTATAAGTTGCTTCGATTAATTTCATTTTGGGTATCATGTAGATGAGTTTTACTTGGTGGATTCCCCATATCATAATACAAAGGGATATCTTGCACCCTACAAAGGAGTAAGATACCATTTAGCTGAATTTCAAATTGGTTAACCTCTCCAAAATGCACAAGACCAAGGACATTCATCACTTAGAAGTGTAATAGAAAGAACATTTGGGGTTTGAAAATCAAGATGGCCGATGATGAAGGATATCCCACCAAACTATGGGTGGCCGACTCAGGAAAAACTAGTTTGTGCAACAATGGCAATTCACAATTTTATCAGGCAAAGTAAGCTACGAGACATCCCATTTGAATCTTATGATATATTCAATGATTATGTGCCTATTGATGAAGGAGGGTCAATGTCACAAAAGCCACACCATGGAAATCATATTCAATCTAATGACAACGATATGGAAGTGAGGAGACGTAATATTTGTATGTCAATTTGTAGAGCAAACTAGCAAAATTGCTTATTGTTATAGTTGGTGCTACTTTTGTTACTTTTTAAAAAATAAAATTAAAGAAAAAAAATACAAATTTTACACTTTATAAGGGCAAAAGGGACAATTACGCAGCAAAAAACTATTTTATAACTTATTTAACCAAACACTACTTTACTGCTTAAATTCATAATCTCACAGTTGCACCAAACAGATTAACAGTTTATGTTCACAGTTATAAATTATAATATGTTAAGTTATAATCTATAATCATTTTTTCATAATTCTACTAAACGGAGCAATATATCTCGTTATGGAGTGCCACTTATATATATAATACATACGTATTATATATAATTTATTTAAAGTAAATACATACGTATTATAAATTATTATAAAAAATTTTATAATACATACGTATTAAAAATTATTTTTGATTATAAAAATTTTTATCCTTACATACGTATTATAAATCAAACCATTCATAACCTAAAAATGATTTATATTTACAAAAATTATATAATTGATTATTATTTGCTATTATAAATTATTATTATATATATTTAATATTAGTCTCAATTTTATAAAATAAAATTTATTTATATTATAAATTATATATTAAAATAATATTAGTCTCAATTTTATTACAAAATATATATGTGTGGCATAGTGTGAGAGAGACAGAAAATGTGTTGAAAACGTTTGTCATAGTGTCAGTGTCAGAATAAATATATATGTGTGTTATAGTGTCAGAATGAGTTTGTGTTTGAAAATATTTTGGCCAAAATCGTGATTCAGAACCGCGAGTTTAGAAGAATTTTTTTTAGGATAAAAGCGTGGTTCAGAACAGCGAGTTCAGAAGAAATTTTTTTTGGATAAAATCGTGATTCATAACAGCGATTTCAGAAGGAAAAAAAATTAATTAAAAGCGCATTTTGTAACCGCGATTTTTTAATCAAAAACGTGTTTTGTAACTACGATTTTAAGATTTTCTATCTACGCGAGACATGCGCATATATGTTGAAATCGTGGTTCACAACCGTGATTTATTTTATTTTGAGAATTTTTTCAAAATTAGACTTAGTTTGGAAATTGATTTAGGCCAAGTTTGGCATGATTGAAAAAAGACAAAAAGTCAAAAAGTCACTATCTTATTTAAGTCACATCATCTTATTTAAGTCACATCACATCTCTAACACATCACTTCAAACCCAACCCAAACCCAACCCATATTTCATAAAAAGTCAAAAAGTGCACTTATTTAGTCTTCCCAAACTAGGCCTTAGTGTTTTTGTCTTATTTAGGGAAATGCCCCGAAATGCCCCCCTTTGCACTCTCTCTCTCTCTCTCACACACACACTGACACACACAATCTCCTGAATCGATCGACCATGGCTCTGTGTACTTCAATCTCGTCTATCCCTCCCTCTCTCTCCATATCTACCCTTCACCCTCCAAGAAGAACTCACAGACGCTACTTGTCATTCCCTCCGCTTGCTTCTCAGAGCTCATCAGCAGCATCCCCTGAATCATCATCATCGTCCTCACCTGAAACCATTGTATCCTCCAATCCTTCATCAAAGCCCTTTTCTCAATCCTCTAAAGTCCCTGACAAGGGCCTCAACTACGCCCTAGCCAGCCCCAGTAGCAACCCAGTTGTTCGCTTTGTTCGCTCCACTGAGTCCTCCATTGAAAGAGTAAGTTCTATCAGGGTTGGTTTGGGAAGGGGGTTGTTTTTTTTTTTTTTTTGTGTGGCTATTTTAGCGTGAGTTAAAAAGCTTGATTTAGAATGATTTTTTTGACTTTTTAGTTTTTTTTTTTTGACTTTTTTTTGGTGAGGAATATTATAACCAGTATGGGCTGGATGTGATATTTTATTTGTTGCGGTTAAAATAATTTATTTTGCGCATATTTTAGCCACAAATCATCTTCCCAAACCGACCCTTACTCTACTCAATTGTATATATATATATGAAAAATGCTTGGAGTACTAATAGTGCTCCCACTAATTAGGTGGCAGTGGGTCTTGCCATTAATGATGTGATGTTTTGGTCTTGGAGTTGTATTTTTTTTTTTTTTTTTTTTTTTTAATGCATTAGTGCGCATTGGGGTGGTGTTTTTAGTGGGATGAATCATTGTTGTATATATATATATATATATATGTTTTTATGCCTTGTGGGTTGCTAGGAGTTAGAGCTTAGATGCTTGACATAATAACCAACTGTTAGGATTTCATTTTTCTTATTTTTGTAGGAAAATTAACAAAAAAAAGAAAAAAAATCTGGTCAAGGATCTTCATAGTGCTTATGTAAGCTCTTGATGATCTTTGTGTGCATTCATTGATCTTTGTTCAGATGCGATGGAATAAGTTCACCCAAAAATTGCAACCAGATTTAAAAATTTGGTATGGAATTTCTTTAAAATGTTTCACAATAGTATTGTAAGAACCCTATCATGTAATGATGTATTTGGAAAGAAGAATACCTTCCATTGACCATTAGAGAGCACCTAAGATGTGCCAAAATGAGGAAACCCTGTCATCATCTGACAAAAAAGATAGACTTCAATAAGACTATAGGAATTGGTTACTTACTTAGCATCAACAGCTTCAACTTACGTGCAAGAATCTCTGCACCTTTGAAAGATAGTGTATTCCAATCCTCCAAACACCCAATATCACTGCCATGCAAACTCACCTCCCACTTCTGCAGCACTTAAATTTGGATTTATGAAAACTATATTTTAGTTCTAGCAAGTCCTAGGCTTGTGTCGATAGGGTAGTCTGTAAACATATTTAATCTCGTAGTCGAAGAGTGATCTTGTGAAGAGTTAATGAATGTTGTTCAGATGATGTAATATGTATGCACTCCTCTTATGCAGTTGACTTGAGTATGTAATAATGGAGTGAAGTTTTACTCTTTTCCTCCACTTCTTGCCACAAGTCCACAATGTAAAACTTTAAGGTGGGTAGGAAAGCAAACCTAATTAAGTGTTGTTATCAACTCATTCTAGACATTTCTCCATCTATGTAATTAAAGGGTCTACCTGTGAAAATATCATGTAACTAGTATGAAAGGTATCTTGACTTGGGCAAATGGAATCAAGTGTGGAATAAAAACTTTTTATGTCCTTGGCCCTTAATCTCACTGAAGTTCACTGCAAAAATATAATCCCTTCTTTCAACAAAGTGGAAGCGAGAAATTCACCAAAACCATCACGCTAACAGGTCAATCACAACTGTTGAACTCCTACAAGGGAAACAAAAACTCCAGAACTCTCTAGCCATTCTAAAATGCAACAAATGGTGCTTCACAGTTTCTTTTGCACCATGCTTGCACATTAATGAATTAGGAAGAACCTTTCCCCTCATCAAATTGTGAACCGTTAAGCTTGCATATAATGGTGTTCTGTCCATGCAGAGAAAGACATCTTTGAAAAACTTTGGCATGCCTATGCCTGAGGAAAATCTGACAAATCATTAATACAAAAAAATTATGAAACAGCATCAGTCCAAATTTCCCATGCATCTAAATCTTCTATTTCGATTTATCCTCCCTATCACTGTATACAGGAATGCCAAAGAACAGTACAATCGGGCAAGCACCAACTCTAGCTCCCAATTGTAAATTGCTTTAGAGGACCACAAATCCCATGCCAATGCACCTACTGTAGGTTATGCAATTTACTATAGATGCATCTTTATTAACATGAATGCCATATAGATCTGGGAACAGCTTGGTAGCTGCATGCACACACAAGATAAAAGCTTATTTGCTTGTCATTTCTTTCTCAGAAGTAGACGTACTTCAAGAACACCACCCATCCTTTCTTAATGCCATTCCACAACCCAACACCATAAGAACTCCAAACTACATTCATCTTTTTTTTTTTTTTTTTTTTTGGTAGGTATATCAGAATGCAAAACTGCATTCATCGATAAACCTCCACCAGCTGTCCCAATCTACAACATACCTTGTAGGGAGCAAACTTCATCTGATACATCATGTGATTACTAAACTTGATGCATAAGTCCCCTTAAATAAAGTCTCTTTACAATTAAACAAATGAACATTGTGCTAGTGAGGCTCGAATTTGCATTATTAGAATAGGGCCCAGATTTTGGCTAATTTAAATTAAATTTAAACTATTGATTGAACTATAGAACCAAAAAGGTGTATTTTGGACCAATCGAGGGTGTTGGTTGGTGTAGAATGAATGTAATGTAAATGAAAGTGCTTACGGAGAGTTGAGTGATTATACTATTCCTGCCAAGGGAATGCTTCACAAAACTTGTATAAGAACAGATAATGCTTATTCTATAGAATGTTGGGAAAGTAAGAATTAACATGTTCAGGAAATGAGGCTAGCTGAAATGAGGATGTTGAGACTAAAGAGAAGCAATTCAAGAGAAGACACAATAATTAAAAGATGTTGGAAGTGGTTTCTATGGCATCAATTGAAATTGGAATGAGAAATACTCATGGGAGATGGTTTGGCCATATGCATTGTGGACAGGCTAATGCACAAGCACAGAGAGTAATTTGATCCAAGCTGAAGTTGACAAAAGGACAACAGGAAGATGACAAAGAATGTGGAACTGAAAATATGACTCTACAGATTGGAGAAGACAAATCCATCTAGTAAATTCCAAATAGTTTGGTTTAAGGTTTGTAGCATTAAGTTGAGTTGACGAAGATAATATCAATTTTTTGATTCTAGAATTCATTTCCATTAAGACATGGTAGTCTAAGATTCTAACAGCAAAGAAGAAGCTAATAGTGTGTAGAAAGCTAGGACTAAAGGGGATTCAAAGTTCCAAAGGTAGAATCATGTTGGTTGAAGGTCAACAAGATGTTATTTCCAAAGTGAGACTCGAGGGTGTGGTTATGAGGTCATGAAGGAAAGAAGGTTATGATAGTGCTGGTTACCGTCCTTCACAAAAAGAAAAAGAAAAAGAAAAGGAAAAAGAAAAAGAAAAAAGAGAGCAGGAAAGAGGAAATAAGAAACAAGAAATCTATTACAACTTGTGGCTAACATGGTTAGGTGGCACTCTCCCACTCAATTTTCAAAGATGAAATTCAGATTGAGTTACAGGGAAGACATTATTTGGGGGAGCTATAACTCCAAAAATAATAGAATTAATAGAAACATTTACAATTCGTAATAAAATTTGTCAATCTAATCAAAGCATTTTCTCTCACTTTCTATCTGCTATAACCAGACCTCCATACTCTCTCTCCCTTCGACCTAAGCAAGGAGAAACTTAGGCTTCATTTGGAACCAAACCAAATTAAACCAAGCCAAGCCTTAAGTCCCATCAAATGGGGTCAGCTACATGAATCCTTCTTCTCAACTCTATTCTATCCAAGGTCATTTCATTAGTCAAATTAAGGAGATTTATATCTCTATTCACTATACTAGTCTATGTCAATCTAGGTCTACCCCTTTTTCTAGCACTACCATCTACCGTCACTATATCGCATCTCTTCACTACTGCCTTTGTTGATCTCCGTCGTATATGACCAGACCATTTCAATCTATTCTCTTTCAACTTGTCTTCTATTGGTACTATTCTTTCCCATTCTTGAATATATTCATTTTTAACTCTGTCTTTTCTAGTCTTGCCACACATCCACTTAGCATCCTCATTTCAGCAACACTTATCTTATCTACATGTTGTTTTTTAGTTGCCTAAAATTACATCCCATACAACATTGTTGGTCTAATAGCCGTCTTATAGAACTTTTCTTTTAGTCTAATTGGTACTTGTTTATCACACAGTATTCCAAACGCACTCCGCCACTTAAGCCACCCTCTCTTAATTCTGCGGATCACATCTGCTCCAATCTCCTCAGTCGTTGTGATAATCGATCCTAAATAACAAAAATGTGCATTCTTAGGTAGTGCTTGGTTCTCAATTTTCACTTCTCCTCTGCTTTTATTGTGTCTGTTACTAAAATTACACTCCATATACTTTGTGTTAGTTCTGCTTATCTTAACTCCTTTAGATTCATCTGCAAAAAGCATACACCATGACACATCATCCTGAATATTGCGCGTCAACTCCTCCATAACTAAAGCGAAAAGATGAGGACTTAAGGTTGATCCTTGGTGTAACTCTATAGTAATTGAAAATTCACTTGTCTCTCCAGCAGGCGATCTAATATTGGTCACCACACCTTTATACATATCCCTAATCACATCAATGTAACCTTTTGTCACTCATTTTCTCTCTAACACCCACTAGATTATATCGCGAGGCACTCTATCATATGCTTTCTCAAGATCGATAAAAATTATATAAATGTCTCTCTTTTTTTTTTTTCTTTTCTCTATACTTTTCTATTACTTTTCTCAAAAGATAGATTGTTTCCATTGTTGACTTACTAGGTATAAACCCAAATTGATTCTCTGACACCTCTGTTATATCTCGTAATCAACATTCCGTCACTTTTTCCCACACTTTCATTGTGTGACACATTGACTTGATTTCTCTATTCTGGACATCTCCTTTATTCTTATATATTAGCACTAAAATACTCTTTCTTCACTCTTCTGGCATTTTCCTAGTCAACAAAATCTTGCTAAATAACCTAGTTAATCAAACAACCTCCTTCTTACTCAAAGATTTCCACGCTTCAATAGGTATATCATCGGGTCCTAAAGTCTTATTCGATTTCATCTTCTTAAGTGCAAACTTCACTTCAAAGTCCCTAATCCGATGATAGAACCTATAGTCCTGGTTTTCCTTATTACTGCCTACTTCTTCCCCTTTTGACCTACCTCCATATTCCTCATTGAACTTCTCAAAATAATTCTTCCACCTCTCCTTAATCTCTTCATCATTCACTAACACTTTAGAGTCCTCACCCTTGATGTACTTAACCTGATTAAAATCTCTTGTTTTTCTCTCTTTTATCTTAGTAAGTTTGTATATCCTCTTCTCTCCCTCCTTACTATCTAGTCTAGTGTATAGGTTATCATAGGCTTTCAACTTAGTCTCCTTCACTATTTTTTTGAGCTCCTTATTAGCCAATCTATAACGCTTAAGGTTTTTCCCAGTTCTATCATTTTGTCACTTTTTAAAGCTTTTTTTTTTTTTTTTTTTTTTTCTTTTTTATTCCTACTTGGACCTCCTCTCTCCATCACCCAGTTTCCCTAAAGTTGTGTCCTTTTCCTTTTGACTCTCCAAGAACTTCCCTTGAGATTCTCCTTATACAATTGGTCATCGAGTTCCACATAGTGTTGGCATTATCTTCCATATCCTAAGTACCTTCTTTATCCATTCTATTTTTAAATGTGTCTAGTTTTTCCCCTTTTAGGTCCCACAATCTAGTCCTGTGACGCCCAATATCTTTCCGAGTTTGGTGTTGCCCTTTAGAGCATAAATGTAGTACCAAAATTCGATGTTGAGACGTCAGCCTCTCTCCAGGAATCACCTTACAGTCATTGCATTTTAGACGGTCCCCTTTTCTTACTAGAAAGTAATCTATTTGGCTCCTAATAGGCCCACTCTTGATGGTTATCAAATGCTCTTCTCTCTTCTTATACATAGTATTGGCCACCCCCAGGTCAGAAGCCAACGCAAAATCTAAAATACTCTCTCCAACCTCATTTCTATCACCAAAATCATATCCACCATGCACCCTCTCACAACTTAGTTTATCTACTCTTACATGGCCATTGAAATGACCACCTATAACTAGGTTGTCTCCTACGGGTATCTCCTGTAATACCTCATCCATTTGGTCCCCAAAAAACTCTCTTACATTTGATCATCTAATCCTACTTGGGGGGTGTATGCGCTAATAACGTTCACTATATTTTCTCCAATAATTAGTTTAACGAACATAATCCTATCACCTTTGCTAATGACCACAACTACATTTTCTACAAGACCCTTGGCAACTAATATTTCTACTCCATTTCTGTGTCTATCCTTGCCACTATAATATAACTGAAAACTAGTATCCTCTATTTCTCGAGCTTTCTCACCCATCCACTTAGTTTCTTGTACACAAGCTATATTAACTCTCCTCCTAATCATGACATCTACTAATTCCATAGTCTTACCAGTTAAAGTTCTTATATTTCATATGGCTAGCCTAAACCTATAATCTTGGACTAGCTTCTTTATCCGCGCTCGTCCAGAAAACGCAAAAACCTTTGCCCATTTTTCACCACACCCATGCGTCGATGCGGCACCCCTTGCTCACTGTTTGAAATACCCAGAGGCAGGCGCAAGGGGAACGACCTAGCATTTAATCGAAAATGAAAAGATGATATCCAATCTGATGAAAGCAATAGTTTGAATAATGTCAAATGAAAAGGTGTCTGTTTTGAATGCAAGTTAATCAGATCTTAACCAAGTGATAATTGACTCTAACATGCAAATAACCCAAAATTTAGATCAACTCAAAACGAGCATCGCTTTCGTATTGGGCCCTGCTATTAGTTTATAGTTCCAATGTCTAGAAGAAAACTTGGTCAATATGGTAATACGTAAGATTTTGCAAGTGTATTTTGAGAAGTCGCATAAAGTCGACCCCATTTGATGGGATTTAAGGCTTGATTTGGTTTGGTTTATTTTGAGAAGTTACACAAGTTTTAAAATGTCAAAGGCATTTGGTGCAATCCACAAGAAGAGCAAGGAAAAGTAAAGTTAAAGAAGTGGCAATATTTGGAAATTGTCAAGGTTTCAAGCTACCAGTGTTATTAGAGTCTTATTTTATGATTATTTTATGCTTTGCTAAAGTTTTTAGGTCAAGAGTATTTTGGTAATTTTCATTATTGTTGTCATGGGCTGTAGGGGCCGCTCTATGGATCGTCTTGTGGGTCACGTTATTTAATTGGTTTTTTTATTTTTTATTTTTAAAATATAGTTTTAGTCAGTGTTTTAAAAAGTTTTAGGCACATTGAGGTGTTAAAGTCTTCTATAGCTTAAGCGTGAGGCGCGCGCCTCACCGAAGCAAGGTGCAAGTTGTTGAAGATAACTAAAATATTAATATAGGCGAAGTTGTTAACATAAAACAAATATTCTTAGAATTTCAAAAAAAGAAAAAAAGAAAAAAGAACGACATTCAATATTTCAAAAATCATGAAAAATAACATTCAACATTTCAAAATTTTCTCAAAAATAACATTTAATCTTACTTTGTCCTGTACTATTTATTTTTCTTTATTAATTTATTAACGTGATTCATTTCTTTTTTTAGATAAGGAACTCACGCCATATAATACCTTAGTGGTTTTAATTTTAAATCGGGACCAAATTGCTTGATAGCTTCAATCATTGGCCCAAAACTATTGTAATTTACTACATTGAAAGGATTTCCAAAGCCATATATCCATCTTGCAATCTCAGAACTTTTACTTAATGCCTATAGCTTTTTTGATATGAAAATTGGGGCTCAAAGCATGTGTTTAAATTTTATATTAAAAGGGTTGTAAATCCATATGGTTACACACACAAAGAATAAGGATGGAGAAAAAATTTAAATGAAGTGCGCCTTGTGCCTAAGGCGCACCTCAAGCGCCTCAAATGCGCCTTTCCTACTGCGCCTCACCTCAAGCTGTTTGAGGCGCCTCAGTGCACCTTTTAAAACACTGGTTTTAGGAGTTTTTTTTTGGTTTTAGTAGTTTCCTTTTTTGGTTCTAGTTGGTTTTGGAAGTCTCCTAGTTCTATATAAAGTCATGTAATACTTCTATTTAAATAGAGTAAATATTTTAGAGTTTAGGAGTTTTGAAGCATTTTTACGGATAGTGTGATGCCTAAGGCTCTCTAGGAGTGATTACTAGAAACTACTATCTTCTTATTTACAGTCTTTCCCTCATTTATTTTCTTGACTTTAACAGCCCAAATACTGTTCATGGGTACTGTTCACAATCTCTAAACAGTGCCAAAATCTTATCTTTTCATGCTCAAAACAAACCCTACTTTTCCTCTATACTTTTATTGCAATTTCAGCCATAAAACCTGCTTAAAATCAGCCCCAAAGCTCTGTATTCCTACTTGTCCTGCATCATCACTTCATGGGTAGTATAATGCAAGTGCATCCATCAACGAATCTAAAATATGTATACATACCTTAGTTATTAGTAGAGACGTGTTAAAGCTACATAAATACGATAGAGTATGTGCATCGCTAACATAGTTTAAATTGTATGATTCACAATTCGATTCATACAATTTGATATGAGTTTTAACAAAAACGATTTGAATTGTGCTGTTGAATCCGAAATTGAGTGAATTGTACTATTCATTGCGATTCACTACGATTCATTACAATTCACTGCGATTCAGTACTACTTTTATTTTTGTTTACATAATGCATGAAATAATGTTGTTTTGACCAAACTATGAAGATATGTAGAAGACATTAATTAGTTATATTGATATACGTGATTTTATATGTATATATATATAATTTAGTCATATTGATAATTTACTTAATTCTAAACGCTGTTTGAATTTTTATATGTATATAAGTATATAAAATTATATATTATTCACGATTCACTATTTTAGCAAAACGATTCACGATTTGATTCACAATTTAACAACAATGATCGCTGCAAACTTGACTATAATATGTAACATCATTGTTGCTACATTTTTACTACTAGTAATTTCAATGCAAAGATTGTCATGCCCAAGTAGCCACATTCTATAGCATATGAATTATGAAGCATCAGAAAAATGATCTTTACTTTTGGTTATTTCATACTACCAAGTGAGATCATGTCAGCCAGTATTTCAAAATGTGAACAAGAAAGAGAATGGCCATATTGTAAACAGTTGCCTCTGATCCTAAAGTAACAGTAAGGAAAACCAAAAAAAAAAACAAAAAAAATTGAAGAATCCTGCTATACACATGACCAGATCCTGGCTTGAGCTCACAAGTACACCGAACTGACCAGGTGATCTTCTGAAGTGTTTCACATTATAACATTGAAGTACAAGAAGTAGAAGCATTATTTTAATAAGCAATTGCAAAGAAATGATAATCAGAAACTCAGAAAGTAGCTTCTGTACACACCCCTTTGACTCCTTGCAAAACAATGGATCAGAAAGCCAAGTTTCATCAATAAGTAAACTAGGAGCATCTTTTGGTTGCATACAATGTGTCTTATCTTATCATACACCACCACTGATATATATATAATAAATATTTATTCAAATTACTGATTATTATAGTAATGCTGTTCTGGATTTTTTTCTGTAATCTTGAGTTGTTTTCTCTAATAAATATGTATTTTTTGCACTTTATGAGCAGATAATATTTGACTTCCGCTTTCTGGCACTTTTGGCTGTTGGGGGTTCATTGGCTGGTTCTTTGCTGTGCTTTCTAAATGTAATGTCTCTTAAACCTGTATAATTTTTTCAATTGTACTTTTGTATTTTGTGGTTGAAGGTGAGATCAGATGTCTGACCAGTTTTGTACTTTTTTTATTTGGTTCTTCTTTCCAGTCTTTTGTGAATTTGTTTTCATTTGAATACATGGAAAGTATCTCTTATGGCTTATTCACTGAATGCAAATTCTTATGGTTGGTTGATGTAGGACAAGTAGGGATTACTTTCTTACAAGTAGTGAGCCCTGGTTTAAGTATATTGGCAGCAGCAACAATAAACTTATAGGACTGAATTTGGTGGGATTTTGTGGCTGCAAAAGTACTTAAAATATAGGAGTTTAAGGGTTTGTAAAAAAGTATGGTTTTGGGAATGAAAACACGAGTGTTTAGGGGGCTGTCGTGTGGCTGTTCTAAGCACTGTGAACAGTACAGTAATCTTGCTGTGTCACGCCCCGAAAAGTTCTACTCAAGCAACCATACTACCAATATTACCAACACACACAAACCAAATAAATAGAAAAAAATAGAACCAAATATACATATCTATCTTTCCTCTTGAACTATTCCCAAAATGGAGTTTTATAAGTATGTTCTGTTACACTTCAAAACAGGAATACAAAAGAAAGAAAACGGTTCAAAAGAAAAGAGAAAGAAGTCAACACAGGGGATTCATAAGGACAACTTGCTTGTCACAAGGTCCTGCAGTTCACTAAGTCATAATCATTAATCCTCGAAACAATTACAATTGTTATTACAATGCCCCCGACAAAACTCCAACAAAAGGATGCACAGCTAAATAGACATCATCGCTTGGGAGGTATCTCGTCCTCATTCCTTGAAATTTTTTTAGTTTTGGGGTGAGCATAAGCTCAGTAGGTGATGCATTTAACAAATTATATAATCATTTGAAAAGCTTATGCTTATGCAATGCAATGCATAAGCGTACATAACAAAGTTATAAAATAACATTAAAGTATGCCAATTATCAGATGTAAATGCGTTGAACATAACTCATGTCATGTCATAATCCTACGTACATTAGTAATTGTAAACATAAATATGGATATTAACCCCACATTTGCCGGCTCCAGGAACGGCGGGGCGATGGACACCCAAAACATCACAACCTTCCACATTTGCCGGCTTCATAAATGGCAGGGACGTGGACACCCAAAATAATCCGTGTTTCCACATTTGCCGACTCCAGAAACGGCGGGCTTGTGGACACCCAAAAATGCTTTTCCACATTCATCCGGCGATAAGCGTAGACAGGGCAATTGGGCACCTTGACTCCCCGCACGGGTACCAAATACAATACTCAACTCAACTCCGACCCAACTCGCTAACCAGACTCGTAGACTATCTACCCACTTCTAACTTTCAACCAATCATACAAGGCGGAGCCAAGAAGAAATAAATAACACAATATGATGCATGGATTGATATATGATGCATTACTTTCCAAATGTGATGTTAATTCACAATAATTCCACCTCACAGTTCATATTCCAAGGATCAACCATCAAACAATCCTCATCCACTTTTCAAGGTTTACGTTAAGGAGGAATCTCCAATCTTATATTTCAATCTCAAAATCAAGTATTTGCACTCAATTTCATGTTTTAAAAATCAATTGAGTAAAACCCCTTTGTGTCAATTAGATTTGAAAACTAGGGTTTGAGTAAAATTGGGGCTTTTCACTCTTTTTATGAAATTGGGATAATTATCCATCATGAACAATGATTTTAATTCATAACAAGTGCAAATCTATCAATAATCATAACGTTTCACCACCGTCCTTCTCAATTTGTAGTCATCAAGCTCAACCAATATATATATACACACATACATACACACATCTATCTACATGAATAGGTTGAGAAAATACCACAAAAGCTACTCAAATTGAAGATATAAAGAGTTAACAGACACCCCTACGTCGAGTTGGGATGTTAGAGTGGCTACACGCACTCACACTTTGTAGATTTAGCGAAACAACCGATGAGAGTGTTGATCTATCTCCTCTTACAACCAACCTTGCAAGATCTTAGGTAGATATTGAGCTAAAACTAGAGAAATCAAGGGAAATCTATGGCCTTGAGAGTTGGGGTTTGAGGAAAGGTAGAGTTAGAGAGAGAGAGAGAGAGAGGATGGGGAAAAAATGGCAAGAAAAAAAAAGGACTTGAATCGTTATTTTAAAATCTGCTGTCCTTGATAGCCCGCTCGAGCGTGAGTTCTGATGCTCAAGCGTAAGGCACAAATAAGTGGTCCCGCTCGAGCGTGGATTCCTCCGCTCAAGTGGAAAAGAACACGTCGCAGAACTTTTACAGAGGTACAGAGAAAAATACTGGGAGCATGCAAATCATGCTTGAGCGGCAACTTCCCCGCTCGAGCGTCCCACCTGCAAAAATGCCAAAATACTGGGAGCTGAAGATCTATGCTCGAGCGGGGCGAGAAACTCAGGTGCCACATGCTGGATAGAAGAAGTGGGGGGAGAGAGAGAGAGAGCGAGCGAGAGAGAGAGGTGCTTCACCCTCACAATCACACAAATACAATCTCATATTTTCATAATATCAACTCTTCTCTTCAATCACTGAGTTACACATATTTATAGGCTAAAGACTCTCCTAATTCTATGAGGACTATAACTCAAATTTAGAAACTAAAAATATTTAGCAACTATTAATATTTTAGACCATTTGTGACTTCTAATTCTACTTCAATCATAATAGAAAATTTTAATGACTTCTAATTCTACTTCAATATTAAAATAGGAAACTTGAACTTTTGACCACTAAGATTATTTTAGACTCAATAAAACCCATATATAATAACCTATTTAATAACTTGACCCAAAATAAAACCCATGGGTGACCCTTACAACCCATGTCCAATAATTATTGGAATTATCATTATACCCTTAATTACTAAAACCTACTATAATGACATAAAGACTCAAAATTATTCTAAATCTTTAATCTTGATGCCCTAAATGTGCTTCATGTGAAATTTCAGATTTGCTCTTTTTCTTCTTTCCACGATCTTCATCATTCTCCCCTGCATTTGAAAAAACTCCACCTCGAGTTTTATAATGTTGAAGTATAAGAATTATGGAATCTTGCACTTGCAACCATTCAAAAGAAAATTAAAAGTTAAATGTTGTCATCACTCCATTGATCACATCGAATTTATTAGGAATAATAAACTTAATGTGAACTTCATTTTTCTTGTGAATAGTAAAAAAAAGGTCAGTTGCATTCACATCATTTTCTTTGGCTTCCTTGGCTTTAGAATCTTGATTACGACAATCTTTCATGCTTTCTTTAGTAAGCAAATTAATTTTTGCCTTTGTTTCTTCAATATCCTCAATATTAGCAACATGTTCATCTTGCTCTTTCATAGTTTCTTCAAAATCTTCTACACTATCAACCTTTTACTCCTGGATATTAGTCTTCTGTAAAACAACAGCCAACAATCCTTCTACGGAAGTTTTCAATCCATTCAAAGTTGTTTTGATAGTATGCACATCACTCTTGTTGTTGCAACATCCTCCTTAATTATCGCAAAATCCTCCTTTAATATCGCAACATCTTTGTTAATAACTCTATAATTTGCTGATAAGGTTTCAAACTTCCAATTTAATTCAATGCTTGTCAACATTGTAATAAAGAAAGAAATTTCATCAAAAGATTGGTAAGGAGCAAGGTAGGATCTTGAAGTTCTGATACTAAACTAATGTAGGACGAGTAGGGATTATTTTCCTACAAGTATATTGGCAGCAGCAACAATAGACATATATGGCTGGATTTGGTGGGATTTTGTGGCTGCAAAAGTATTTAAAAAATAGGAGTTTAAGGGTTTATAAAAAGGTAGGGTTTTGGAAATGAAAACACTAGTGTTTAGGGGCTGTCGGGTGGCTGCTCTAAGCATTGTGAACAGTGACGTGAACAGTAATCTTGCTGGAGAGAGAGAGAGAGGTGCTTCACCCTCATAAGAGTAGGCCAATCACACAAACACAATCTCAAATTTTCATAATATTAACTCTTCCCCTCAATCATTGAATTATACATATATTTACAGGCTAAAGACTCTCCTAATTCTGTAAGGATTATAACTCAAATTTAAAAACTAAAAATATTTAACAACTACTAATATTTTAGACCAACTGTGACTTCCAATTCTACTTCAATCATAATAGGAAACTTTAATGACTTCTAATTCTATTTCAATATCAAAATAGGAAATTTAGACTTTTGACCACTAAGATTGTTTTAGACATAATAAAACACATGTATAATAACCTATTTAATAACTTGACCCAAAATAAAACCCATGGGTGACCCTACAACCCATGTCCAACAATTATTGGAATTACCATTATACCCTTAATTACTAAAATCTACTATAATGACTCAAAATTATTTCAAATCTTTAATTCTTGATGTCCTAAATGTGCTTCATGTGAAATTCCAGATTTGCTCTTTTTCTTCTTTCCATGATCTTCATCATTGGTCCTTGTACTTGGAAAACCATTATCAAAATGCAGAGATGAATGCAGTGTTAGAGATGTTCCTGTAGTGGAATTGCTTTCACTATAATTATTTGTTTGTTATGTACATTTGTTTCTTCTTTGTTTGTTATGTACATTTGTTTCAAACAAGCTAGAAGAAAATATAAAATTTTGTTTAGTAGAAATGTTGGGCTTGGTTAGTTATGACTGACTATCAAAGGATATAATGAATTTCTGAATATCAGAATGCTCCTGTTGCTAAATGTTGTATACAATTTTCATTAAGCTGTAACATTAGAATAAGCTAAGATATCTTCGCCATTGTCTGCATACTATTATTTGGTAAAGACATGTTGTATATTACACTATCAGTAGAAAAGGTGCAAATTTTCAGTGGTGTGTTCTGGATTGGACATTCCCATTCCCTGTGTGTTTGTGCTCGTATCTCTTACCTGGGTTGGATTTTTTCAAACTCATTGCTGCTATTTTTGTTGTAGGGTTGTGTTTACATTGTTGATGCGTACAAAGTTTACTGGTCAAGCTGTGTCAAAGGAATACACACTGGACAGATGGTACTGCGATTAGTTGAAGCTATTGGTGAGATTCTGAATTGCTGTTAAGAGACCTATCTAGTCAATAGCATACGTAATCCTGTTGACTAAGTACATGTTTAATGAGGTACCTTGAATTTTAGTGCAGACTTACTATGCCTCTGATCAGTTGCTTGTTAGTAATTTCTAAGAAGAGAAGAATTAGCCCATGCAGGATGAAATTTTTCATCGAACCACAAGTATACCTGTCTTTTTACCAGTGGAGATTCTTTGTAGCGTTTGTTGCCCCGTCATAACTTTTTTCTTATCATAGATAATAATGCCTTCTAATTTTTCTTTCACGGCCTACAGTCCTACTCTAATTTCTCCATGTTATTTCTTTATTTTGGAATAGTTTGTTTTTGTTGTTTCCTTGTCTATACTAATTTGAGAATATGCTTTATTGGTTTATAGGAATGGTCAATTATAAAAATTTATTAAAAGGAAAGGGTAACAAATTATTTAGATGAAATTAATATTAGCTGGCTTCTTCTAGTTTAGAATTTTGGTAGATACATTTTGATGGTTTCTTTAGACCTCTATTTGGAGGTTCATCTATGTCCAGTATGAATGATAGCCTGGCAGGCAGTGTTTTGGGAAGTTGAGTTTTGGCTAAAATAGCCAATAAAAACAAAATAAGTTAAAATAGCCAATAAGACAAAATGTCACATTCAGACTATAATCATTTCACTTTTTCTCTTACAACTATCAAATCAATTACAAAAAAAGAAAAAAGAAAAAAAAAGCCAACTATCATCTCAAACACAACTTTTTTAGCTAGGTTGAAATAGCCAAAAAGCTAACTAAAATAGCCAAGTTCCCCCCCGCTTTTCCCCCACCATGTGAGTGGTGAACTGATTCGCCTTTGAGGGCTAGATTGACTTGCAATATTCGATGTTATACTACTTTTGGTCTTATAATCACCTGCATTATGTAATAGAAGAATATGATATGAAGGATATGCTATGCTGGAATGGTTTACATCAGTCAATCTACAAAAAGTTCTTTGGACAACAAATTGCACCAAAAGCTTAAGCTATTGGGGGTAGGCTCAACAATAAATATCAAGCTCTTACACTCTTTCTCTAGCGTGAAATTTTTTTTGATGTCGGGAGACAGAGTAGCACACAAAATGAACTGAACTTGGTGAATACACACCTTGGAAAGAGTTCACATTGTCATACATAACAGCCAACAGTAGTATCTCATGGGAGTTTTGAACTTGTAACCTATTTGAAGCAAAGCTGTGATAACATGTATATCAGGCTCTTTCTGATGTGATATTGAATTTCTCTCTGAGTGCAGATGTATATCTTGCTGGGACTGTCATGTTAATATTTGGCATGGGCTTGTATGGACTATTTATCAGTAATGTACCTCCTGATTCACCTCCAACTGTTGATCGTGCTCTCAAGGGCTCTTCCTTGTTTGGGATGTTTTCCTTAAAGGTAGTAACTGTTTGATCCAGTTAAATTTGTTTTTATTTAGACACCATCGGTTGTATGCATCATCTCTTGTTTATTAACTTCCATTTACACTTGCACTCTATTTATCAAGGAAAGTCAAAAAGGAATTGGAAAATTGAATCAAACTGTTTAAGGTTGGGATTTTAGCTGAGCACTCCAGAATTTGTTTTGATCTCTTACTGGTAGTGGACCAAAACCCTCAGAGGCCATAGTGGCTGCAATGTGGGTGTGCTTTTCAGGTGTGTGGAGATGAGCGAAGTCCCACATTGCTTGAGTACTAAAGTAATATGACAATGCTACATCGCCCGAATTTTGGCTTGTCGGTCGTCTGGCCGGTCATCTGGCAACAAGGTGACAGCCGCGGTAGACAAGGCTGACAACTGCAGTAGACAAGTGTTTTATCGGTTATCCGGCCGGTTGATTGGCATGCACAAATTCGGGCGTTCAGGCAAACTCAAATTCGAGCTACCAATCATTTTCAAAGTAATATTAAGCATATAAGCGTGAGGGTACCCTCACCTTAGTAGTTAACTTTTGGGGTGAGTTCTATTGAAGACCATGTAACATGGTATCAGAGCCGGAGTATTCAAGGATGGGTAGGGTGCGTGTCCTTGGCTTGCACATCGTAAGTGCTGCTACTGGGTGTGAGGGAGGATGTGAAGCGAAGTCTCACATCGCCTAAGTACTAAAGTAATATTAAGCATATAAGCGTGAGGGCACCCTTACTTTAATAACTAGCTTTTGAGGTGAGTTCTACACGAGACCGTGTAACAATGCACACGTCTTTGTCTTAAATTGGAGAACGTTGTCTAGTGAAGGTCTCTCTCTCTAAAATTGGTCAAGGTTTAAATCCTTTGAACGAGAGGGAAGACTGCCTTGACTAAACTCATTTCTATCCGATGAACCACATAACCTTGGAGGTCCCGCACAAGAGTCATGTGGTCTCTCATGCACCCATGACGATGGCTCCAACCTGGAGGGGGGACCCTACTCCAACTTAGGCTGGCATAAGTGCATTAAGGTGCCTTCTGAAGACAACTTCGGAGAGATGAAACTCAAGCATAGGAGGGACACACTTGGATGGACAATTGCTTGGCCAAGTTAGGCATACCGAGCGTGTCGGCAGTGGGAGAGGTGATGCACTCAAGCAGAGGTTTGCTTGGCCGAGCCAAGGGTTGCCTCGATCAAATTTGGTGGTGCCTTGGAGATTTTCAGCTCCTGGGCTCGAGTCCAAGGCACTGGGTAACTTAGACTTGGTCCGTGTGACTCAAGCCCGAAGGGGATTATGTTGAGATATCTGATTGGTCCCTGTGATGCCTTGCCAGGCCAACACATGGGTTTCAAGTTCATGGAGATGATGTATTGTGCTATGTAGGATATCTGGATACAAGTAGCCACAATCCTCAATTCATTCTTCCATTTAGCAAGCTATTGACCTCATAAATGGGCACTGCATGTTATTTAGACTCTATGAACATTTTAAAGCTCCGGAACTATGAATTCTCTATACATTCAACCAAGTTCGTCTTGTAGTTAACTATAAAGTGCCTCATTATTTATCAGGAAAAAAAAAAAAAGAAAAGAAAAAACCCTATAAAGTGCCTCACTGAAAAGTGATTAAACAATTTGACTATCCATTCCTTTTGGTTCCATTGTGGTGATGGTCTTCCGTCCATTTGCATGAACTTCTTTATGCACTCCCAGCTCCTTGGGTTGGATCAGTGGCGGGTAATGGCCTTTGTTGTGCTGCTTCTGGTCTTACCTCAGTTAAATTCTGATGACTTCATAAAATTCAAGCTCCCTGGATTGGCCAAACCAATGCCGCAGTACGCATTTTTTGTTTACTGAAGTGTTTTTTTTATTTAATTTTATCTTTTGATTGGCAACTAAAGTTTAACATTCAGCATTCAAGTTCTTAATACATGATATACTTTCAGTCCCAACTATTTGCATGGTATGTTGCTTCACCATTTGTGAACATTGGTTTAGACCTAACAACTCTTTTGTGCACATATGTACACGAGTCTTCATTTAGACAACAAGGTTCTTTGTTTTCTTGTCTCTTTTGCTGCAAAATGGAATGCTAAAAAAACACTCGCTGACGTTTCTTATTGGTTGTAGGAGAGGCCTAAATGGATGAAAATCAGCTCGCTTGATGAATTAAAGACGAAAGTTGGACATGTCATTGTCATGATTCTTCTTGTGAAGATGTTTGAGAGGAGCAAGATGGTGACTATAGCCACTGGTCTGGATTTATTAAGCTACTCCGTATGTATTTTCTTATCTTCTGCTTCCTTGTACATCCTTCATAATTTGCACAAGTCAGACTAAACTGTCAAACAAAAATATGTTCTGATAACATGTAAAAATTGAAATTATCAATGGAAATAATGTAATAAATAATGTTTGATATGTTTGATATGTTTGTACTTGCATGGATTGTGTTAGTCTTGAAGCCGCAACAACACTCTTGGACAGAGCCTCAACCAAATCAAGCTTCTGGACAACTGAATCCCCAATTTTTGTGTTGCAAAAATTACCAACACACAGTTTACACATGCTGTAACACTTGAAAGTTTCCTTTTTTGCAATCAATTTGATTACTTTTTACTAATTCTCATCCTCCATAATGTTTTAACAAACTTCCACATCAAAGTTATCGCATTGAATGAACATATTTTTTTGCTTTAAAATATGTATATATATGTTATCAATTATTTGCAGTAGGCCAAATTACATAGTAGAAGAAGCTTACAAAGCAATTAGAGAAATATAGGAAGAATGAAACGACTCCAACTTGAAACTAATTTCTTGACCAATATCGCAGAGACTTCTTCTATGAAACATCTAATATAATTGTGAACATTAAAGCATCACTTTGTAAATAAATTGTTCGACAATCTTACGTGTACTGTGTGTGAAAATCTGAATTTGGAAACAGTATTGGAAAAATAATGAAAATTGAAACAAAAAAAAAGAAAAGAAAAAGGAAATACTTATAGACTATATAGTAAAAATTCTATACTTTTAATTTTGAATTGTGTTCGATGCAATTTCCTTAAAACAAATTTGTCTCGGTACAATGCTCATGAGATTATTGGACGTTCACCTACAATATACAACGATCAAACCTTATAAAGTAGCCTTTTAAAGCACCTCTATCCGATACTTCAAATCTAATGTAACACTCCAACAGTCATATTTTGACATCAAGTATCAACTCTACCTAGTATGTTAAAAATTGATGTGACTTTTGGCATCATCCCTTTTAGTCAATTTTGACACGAAGATCCCTTGATACTTTTTTTTTTTTTTTTAATTAAAGCATCTAATAGCACAATTTGTGATAGATTGTGGTTGTCAATCAGCCCATGTTATGTCATGACTTTTCTTTTTCTTTTTCTTTTTCTTTACCAATGGAGTATTCTTTGAAAACGGTAATATTTTTTTATTTTAATTCAAAATCAGCAACATGTATGTCTTGATTACTGTTGTAAACAAAAAAAGAAAATTCAATTTATTTTATTATCTATACATTATTTATAAATATTGCATTTTTATAAATATAAAATGCTATTTAAATGGCATCAAACCTCTTTTAAAAATAAATTTATTTTAATTAGTAAAATAAAAGAGTTTTGATTTAAAAAATAATATAATAATAAATTTGATATATCGAGTGGAGAGTTTCTATTGCCACCCAAGACTTAAAAAAAATTTGAGGGGACTTAAGAGTAGGTCCTAATAGGTGAACTTATTATTCAATAGGTTCTATGATAATTAATGATGTTTTTCATCAAATACTATTAAAAAATGTTACTAATTATTAATTTTCATTGATAGTTTGAAAATTTTGTCACAAAAAAGTCATAAATAAATTGTTCGACAATCTTACGTGTACTGTGTGAAAATCTGAATTTGGAAACAGTATTGGAAAAATAATGAAAATTGAAACAAAAAAAGAAAAAAGAAAAAGGAAATACTTATAGACTATATAGTAAAAATTCTATACTTTTAATTTAGAATTGTGTTCGATGCAATTTCCTTAAAACAAATTTGTCTCGGTACAATGCTCATGAGATTATTGGACGTTCACCTACAATATACAACGATCAAACCTTATAAAGCAACCTTTTAAAGCACCTCTATCCGATACTTTAAATCTAATGTAACACTCCAACAGTCATATTTTGACATCAAGTATCAACTCTACCCAGTATGTTAAAAATTGATGTGACTTTTGACATCATCCTTCCCTTTCAGTCAATTTTGACACGAAGATCCCTTGATACTTTTTTTTTTTTTTTCAATTAAAGCATCTAATAGCACAATTTGTGATAGATTGTGGTTGTCAATCAGTCCATGTTATGTCATGACTTTTCTTTTTCTTTTTCTTTTTCTTTACCAATGGAGTATTCTTTGAAAACGGTAATATTTTTTTATTTTAATTCAAAATCAGCAACATGTATGTCTTGATTACTGTTGTAAACAAAAAAAGAAAATTCAATTTATTTTATTATCTATACATTATTTATAAATATTGCATTTTTATAAATATAAAATGCTATTTACATGGCATCAAACCTCTTTTAAAAATAAATTTATTTTAATTAGTAAAATAAAAGAGTTTAGATTTAAAAAATAATATAATAATAAATTTGATATATCGAGTGGAGAGCTTCTATTGCCACCCAAGACTTAAAAAAAATTTGAGGGGACTTAAGAGTAGGTCCTAATAGGTGAACTTATTATTCAATAGGTTCTATGATAATTAATGACGTTTTTCATCAAATACTATTAAAAAATGTTACTAATTATTAATTTTCATTGATAGTTTGAAAATTTTGTCACAAAAAAGTCACTAATTATAAATTTTAGTGATAATTTAAAAAAATCATCACAAAAAAAAGTCACTAATCTTCAACTTTCAGCGATAGTTTGAAAAATTTGTTGTAGAAAAATGTCACTAATTGTATGTTTTAGAGACAATTTATAAAAATTATGACAAAAAAAAGTCATTAATTGTCAATTTTTAATGACATAAAAAAATTATCACAATTTTTTTCAGTGATGATTTTACAAGAACTTATTTTTAATAGGATTTAATGAGAATTAAGTTTAACTATTATGACCTATTGATAATTTATCAAAATACTTGACTTATCAAATTTTGAAGATTTAGGTCGAAACGCTTGCAAGTTTAGCAAATCTTACTGTTTAGAACTCTTTTTCATAAAGGACTGACAAAGTGCCGAAAGAAAGAAGACAACATCAGACGAATTTGATTCCAAATAAATGCAGCAGGGGGCTTGTTTATATAAGCGGACTGGTAGCTCTTTGAATAACAATGGTGACACAATATAAGTACGTTACTAAGGTCAAGTTTGGCAACACAAAAATAATTCATCTTTTTATTTTTTATTTTTTTTTTCATTATATTACCTCTCTATTTTTTTGCACATTTTTTTATAAAAAGACAAAAAATACACTTATTTAGGTCATCTCAAACAACCCCTAAATTTTAGCATGATAGATTATTGAATATTGCCACATCATGTATTTTTATTATTATTATAAAAAAAAATTAATGACTTAATCTGTATTTCATAAATGCTAACCCTTATATTAAGGTCTCGTTTGGAAACATGCTAATTTAGTAACTTTTTGGCTATTTGTCTAAAAAGGTAGGTAAAAAAAACTTGTATGTTTGGGATGACTTTTTGGCTAATTACGAAAAGATGTGCAAAAAGTAGAGAGAAAAGAGAATCTTTGACTTTTTAGTATGGATTGTTGACTTTTTGACTAATTTAACTTTTTGACTTTTTGACTAAAAAGGTAAGTTCCCAAATGGGCCTAAATTAGCTTAAATCAAAATACAAGTTGAAAGCATTCTTTAGGAAAATACTTACTATCACTATATTTTATTTAATTAAGCTAAAAAATTGAAGTTTATAAAAAATATTAATTATTGAATTTGTTTTTAATTAAAAGTTTCGCTTCAAAACACTGAGAATAATATAATCAGCTACATCGTATGATCGCAAAAACTAATACATACATTATTAAACAATTCTCCAATGACGGACATGGAAATATAGTGGAAATTATATGTTAGAGGGTCGCATTCAAAATTCACAATAAAATTCTGATTCTTTTATTAATAGCTAAATCATTGTACATAAGTATATTAAACAATAAAAAAAAATTGGTTACAAATCTAATCTGAGAATTGATTGTGGCGTTAGGTTCTATAAGTAATTTTTTTTTTCCCGTGTGAGGTATGAGACCCTCTGTTTACACACCACTAATTATCTCATCTCACACCATTACGTAATACACACCACACATAAGTTTACTTTTTTATCTTTTTCTCAATTCACACCATCAAATTTCTCAAATACCCCTATCTTTTCCATTAACCCTAAGAGCAATTCCAACCATACTTTCTATTTTTCACTAGTTAAAGTATAAAAAAAGTACTCTTTATTTTACCTAATTACTTTAGCTATTGTATTCTCCAATCACACTATTTATTTTAGCTAATTATTTAAACTAACTTAATTAATTTTTAAAATAAAAAAATACTAATTGTTGATATGTTAGTAATATAAATTTGCAATAATAATAAATTTGTCCATACAAACATACAAAACCTGTAGAATGAGGAGAAAAAAAAATACAAAATACAAAATAAATTATTTTGTAATTCATCAAACATAATTGAAAGAACATATAAAATTGCTATACACACACACACATATATAAAATCTCAAATCCAAGACATAAATATACAAAAATCTAAAATATATACATACATAATTGTTTAGAGAGCCTCTGGGGCTCTTCAATTGTAGCCACAAAAAAAATAGGATGGTAAAATAGCTAGCCCATTAGAGTTCAAAATTAGACTTACATTGGCTAAAATGCCTAACAAGCCTTGTTTAACTATTCCCTTGGAGATGCTCTAACCCTAACACTTAAATGCCACCACTTCTACCATCAGTGCCGACACTGGCAACGAAGCCGCCTCCTCCTTAAGCAGTCGCCCCAGTGCCACCTCCCATAGAGATCGTCTCTTTTCTCTTTTCGTGTCTTTTCTTTTTTTTCGTGATCTCTCTCTCTCTCTCTCTCTCTCTCTCTCTCTCTCTCTCTCTCTCTCTTTTTCAATCTCTGTGATGGTGGATCTGGGCAACGGTGTTGATCGCGACAGCGATGATAGAGGTTGGGGCTATGATGGTGGCCGTGGAGGAGGGTTGTAGTGGTGAGAGAAGAAGGC